GTATTAAAAAATATAAAATGTTATATTATACGCGTAGTGCAAGAGCCAAGAAATTATTTATAGAAAAAATAAAAAAAATATTGATTAGAATCTATTAGTTATTTAATACTATGTCTTCCTGTATAAACATTTTCTGGAAATTTTAAGGTAATAAGACGAACTGATGATTCAACCCAATCAAATATTAATAATATTTATTCAACGTAAACGTATAATGATATTTTGTTTAGTCAGTTATAATAAATACTAAATAGGAAGGTACTTATTAAATATTTACAAACTTAATTTATTATAAGTAATTATAACTCTATAATGCAGTTATATAAATTTATAAACATTTCTAGTAACGGACAATTATTTAATTATTTAAGTACCTTTAATACTATGCAACGTGTGAGATAGAATATTACAAATTTAAATGTTTTTAATTTGTATATATAGGTACTAGTTAAATTATAAATAATATGACTACCTAATTGAAATAAATGTGACATCATCCGAAAATGTAATTGCGATCCTAAAATCAATAACTTGTAAATAATATATGAATTAATTTTAATTTATCTGAAAGTCTACTAATGATCCACTTCGTACAATTTCAATATCTTAAAATAATTGAATTTCAACCACAAAGCGCAGTATTATAACAACCTTCTCTTTCAAAATATTTTCGTCAAATATAGAATGATTATGTATAAATATTAAATTCTAGTCAAAAATGAAAGTATTAAGTGAATGAATTAAAACTAAAAATTATTCATACTATCTAAAATTGATGATGACATTTCATAGAAAAACAAGAATATTACTCGTTTTTTTAAGACGTAATGTATATTATTTTTATAAACTGTACTTAATCTTTAAAATTATACTATTTCCAAACCGTATACCGGCGTAATAACCACTTGGCTTAGTCAAATTATAGATAATAACAAACACAWACGACGTATCTAAAACGCAAAATCGGACGCCCGTTCTGGACATGGCACTATAGCAGTAGTGATAATCCTACAGGATTTCGTGATAGAGTAAAACGCTATTATACCTATTTTGGAATCCTTAAATACGACCGTCAATTCGATACATATTATACGCTGTCCAATATAATCTGTGCTCAAACGCGTTATAGTAATAATAATAATAATAATAATAATAATTCGAGACTCGCCCAAAAACAATCGTCCCGATCGGCCTGTCATATAATATTATCGATCGAACCCATTATTATAATGCATTATTATTACTATGGGTAGGTTGCTATATAGATTTGTGCGTGTGAGCGCCTACCTAGTACMTACAATGTGTCTCTTGCGGTCGAGAGAGAGAGAGAGAGAGAGAAAGAGAGAGAGAAAGAGAGAGAAAAATAATAAAAGTTATTAAACTACATGGAACGTTGCACAACACCCGTTGACGTTCACGCCCGGCAACGAGAGCAGCTATGCGTACGACTTAACGAGCTGCAGCAGCTATACGGTTACCCAAACTCTAATATATATGCTCGTATAGTCATCGCTTGAACGAAATCGAATTTCTACATTTTAGTTCATTAATCATTTACTCTGTACCCGCCACTATATACGGGGTGATCCGTTTAACCACTTTAACTGGGGGYTCGATTCATTTTTTGAATAAATATTTGTTTTTTATTTTTTGTTTTATCTACAGCATACTATACCTACATGAAGTGTGTACATATTATTATATTATAACATAAGGTATCCAGTAAAAGTTGATGCGTATGTTCATTGCTCATCCAATATTTCAAATATCTGTGAGACTGTAATTACGTCTATTCATTCGATATTCATTTACCTACTTGTACATACAAACGTCGAGTAAAGAATATTCGAGTTCGAAATATGCAATGAGAAATAATATAGATATGGGTGGCGAYGACATAATAAAAAACATAAACAACTGTGATCAAATAAAACTATATTTTTATGTGACCAWTTAGTGTTACAAATACTCTGAACTGTGTGTATAAAACGTTGACATTAATTAATGTAGTCGTATAATTGGGTCACCCTATATTACACCTAAATGTACACATTACCGCATTTGTGCAGTGATATCTTTATTCCACATCACACGCGTACCTCAACGTGGTTTGTAAATTGTAATTAACGTTAACGTAAGTTCGATTGATATATTATTATATTGAATCGGTAGGGGGTTGCATATTTTAGTAGGTAATTAGATCAACAAAACGTATACTACAGAACTCTTACTAGTACGCTCTAGTTGTATATAAATATGCATAGGTATAGCTCACCCGGCGCTATAATAATGCTATATTATTATAACACGATGTTTAATAAGTTATACATATCTGCAGAGTACCGGAGTACGATGTCACATTATTATTAAGTTAAATGAACAATTTGTGCGCCTATAATATAGTATAACTGTGGGTGGGTGATTCTTTTGTCGTGGACCAAACAATATCCTAAGACTTACAAGGAATTTCCGCATTATTTTTTTATAAAGGTTAWCAGTAGTGTATTTGCTCTTACCATCCCTGGTATTTTCAATTATATTGCTTGGTTTACGATAGCTGAATCCCCCTGTATAATCCTACGTCTCTTAGACAAAAACATATTGTCCTATAATATGGCGATGATAAGGCCTAAACAAGGGGTGTTGCTGCCAAAAAATCGATATTTGTTCCATTGGTTCGAGATTCCATATTCTCGTTTTAACATACCACGTCAAATAAACTTACACTAAAATCTTAACATGGGATAGACGGATAATAGTATGTTAAACACT